AGAGTGAAGCCATTAAAAGCTGTGGGGCGTGAAGGAAGACTAATTGCCACCTGTGAGCGTGTGCTTGGCAGAAGACTGTAAAGAAACGGCCTGTCACACGCCGGGCTGCGGTGCTGCTGACCGTGCATTTCCTGGATGGGAACTTTTTCAGGAGCAAATTTTAAGATTTTACAATCTTTCAAGTTTTTTTCCGATGAGGATTTCACTTCTTAATAATAGTTGGCTTTGGTGCACTTGCCAATGCGTTCATATACAAGAACATTTTCGGTTTGTCGATATTTAAAATGCACAAAATAAAACATTACATATGTGTCAAAATTTATAGAACACCCATTAGAAATAAAGTCATATTTACAAGGTAGCATGTTGCGACATTGAGACCCTCTGAGGATAAAATGATCATTAAATTTGCCCAAATCTGATAATTTAGAGCCATTAATTTGCATCATTTGCGGACCACCACTGTTGTGGATTTATTTTAATCTAATTGGTATTAAATTGTATTAAACCATTAATAATAAGTAATTAAGATTACTATATAAAAGTAAAAAGAGAAAGCAAGAGAGAGGATGGATGGATAAAATCATTCTATCATATAACTGTATTACAGTAAAATGTATTATTTAATTACTAATAATCGTTTTATATTATATTTGTTTTGTAATTGATTTAATATATATGTATATATATATGAAGAGTTCAGATGCAAAAGCCTCTAAATGCCATTTGAAATTTTCTTCTTTAATGATGATTTTTTATCAAACTTGTATATCTAAGTTCAGTAATTTCACTTAAATGGCAATGATAATTACCTATTAATTGTTATTTAAGTGAAATTACTGAACTTAAATATACAAGTTTGATAAAAATCATCATTAAAGAAGAAAATTTCAAATGGCATTTAGAGGCTTTTGCATCTGAACTCTTCATATATATATATATATATGAAGAGTTCAGATGCAAAAGCCTCTAAATGCCATTTGAATTTTTCTTCTAGAATGGTCATTTTTTATCAAGCTTGTATATTTAAGTTCAGTAATTTCACTTAAATGGCAATTAATAGGTAATCTTCATTGCCATTTAAGTGAAATTACTGAACTTAAATATACAAGCTTGATAAAAATGATCATTTTACAAGAAAATTTCAAATGGCACTTAGAGGCTTTTGCATCTGAACTCTTCATATATATATATTTATTTATTTATTTATTCATATTTTTATCTAATGTCACTTTGGATGTCAGTCGGTAAAGTTAGCAGCTTCTTACAGCCTAAAGTTTTTTGCCAATATATTCAAAAGTTTGGATTTGCAAGCCTACTTTAATGTTGCCACTGAATTGTTAAACTGCAAAAAAACAAAAAAAACAAATGTCAGCAATTAGACAAAAATAACTGACTAAGAGGCCAGTACTCCTTGCCAACACAAGCTGGCTGGGAATAAATGAGCTCTAGTATGAAGCAGTGAAGTGCAGCTGGGTCATTAGGGCAGCCTGATATCTGAAACTTATTGAGTGCTGCAGTTCCCAGACTTTACCACCAAACTGAGAGCAATTTTCATAATGAACATATGAGGAGGGAGCAGGTGTGAATCGCAATTGAAAATCAAGAATAATGAAAACCCAACCAATTTAAAGCCAGGATTTCAGCCCACAGGCCACCCACACTTTGGCAGGAGCTGATAAACAGTAACCCTCTGTAGCTTCTCAGCTAGAACCATATCACTCGAGTCTCTAAGTTCAGGTCAGGTAACCACCACACATCTCCAGCTGGACAAAGCATCCTTTCTTTTCCCAACTGCAGGGAAAGCAGGACTCCCATGACCAATGCGTCCACAGTCTCATTAAGCCATCAGCAGAGACCTAACCTCTCCGGCTTGACCCCATCGCTTTATCCCCCACACCTGGAGACGACCACACAGGGCAAAACAGCGGGAGCGAAACGGCCAGCCAAACTTGAGATGGTTTCAGACAACCACTGGTGATGAGAATGAGTGAGTAATAACCAAACTACACATCTTAGGATGGGACGAGGTCATACGCATCCACCGACACTGATGCACACCCACACAAAAGCCCTATCTCTATCCCCTGAGGTAACCTGGAGAGAAGAGAACTTGAGGGGGGGTTCAAAGCAAACCGGAGGGCTTGTAATCCTACCTAAGCATGAGATCTCTCTCGAAACACAACCACAAAAGAAAGCGAAGGGAGGGGGAAAACCTGAGGCTAACCCAAGCAGCAAGTCAGACAACAATAAAAAGTCGACAGCCTATATTTAACTGTGGTGGGAATTTGGTGAGGAGTATACAGGAACACTTTGAATGCATGATGAAGGTCAACTGGGTCTCCACTTCCTCCACAGACTCCACTCCACTGTTTTCTCCCCCCAATGCCGATGGACAAGGGGGGAGATAAGCATTGTTTCCCAAAAACAATGGGCCACTTCCAATAGCCCCTCCCCTATAGACAGACTCTCAGAAACTGGCACTCGCATATTCTGCATGAAAACAGTGTGTGAAAGTAAGGAAAGCTGTTGAAAACTCTAGAAACGGAAGGTTGTGAGAAAAAAAGCTTCAGGAATGAGCAGATAGACTGTAAACACCCCAAACAAACAATGAATGGCTTCGGTTTACCAGAATTCAGAAAAATGTCACACGAGGGCGGATATTGTGGATTACTTCAAAGTACCTGGGATTTTTCCTTTCAGCTTTTGTTATGAAAGACTGTCCTCCATTTGACTGATTATGTTCCATTACTCTCCAATAAAAAAGCATTGGTTTTATAAAATAAACAACACGTAGTTCAAGGTCTCAAACCTGATTGGTCGAGCAGCATTCAAAGAGTGTGTTAACGGTGGGGGTTTTAAAGTTATTCTTTCTGAAAGTGACTCTCTTTATGAGTGAGTCGTGAAGAATCGTTCAAAAATGCTGATGCATTCAGAAGCAAAACAGGTGGATATCTTTATGGGTGAATCATTTGAATCATTCACTCAACCAATTGATCCATTCTGTAATGAAAAAATGTACTCTCTTAACGAGATGGTCACTTATTAAAAAATGAAAAGTGACTCTTTATGAGTGAATTATTAAATCATTCACTCAAGCAAATCTCTTCAAGAGTGGGTCATATATCATTCACCCAAACGATGTGTTCAAAGACAAAAAAATCTGATTAATTCATAAATTAAACAAACATCTTGTGAACAGTCAATGAACCATTCAGACAGCCAAATAGATCAATTGTTCCCGATTCAATCAGAAATAAAACTAGTCATTGTGTTTATGAGTGAGTGATTGAATAATTCACTCAAATTATTTGTTCAATGACACTAACTCATTCAGGAATGAAAGAAGTAACTCTCTTTATGAGTTAGTAATGATTTATTCAGCGAGTCATTTGAATCATTCACTCAAATGATTCATGATTCATTAAAAAAATGAAACCGGTGACTGTATTTATGAGATAGTCTTTGAATCATTCACTCGAACGATTTGTTCAAAAACGATGATTCATTAAAAAATTAAACAGGTGACTGTATTTATGAGATAGTCTTTGAATCATTCACTCGAACGATGTGTTCAAAAACGATGATTCTTTAAAAAATTAAATAGGTGACTGTATTTATGAGATAGTCTTTGAATCATTCACTCGAACGATTTGTTCAAAAACGATGATTCTTTAAAAAATTAAACAGGTTACTGTATTTATGTGATAGTCTTTGAATCATTCACTCGAATGAATTGTTAAAAAACGATGAGTCATTAAAAAATGAAACCGGTGACAGTATTTATGAGATAGTCTTTGAATCATTCACTCGAACGAATTGTTCAAAAACGATGATTCATTAAAAAATGAAACCGGTGACAGTATTTATGAGATAGTCTTTAAATAATTCACTGAACGATTTGTTAAAAAACACTGATTTATTCATAATTGAAACAAATCACTCTCTTCATGAAACATGGATTCGTTCAGGGATGAAACTCGTTTCATAATTGATTGATTCATTCAACTAATCAGTTCAATCCTTTCATAAATAAAAAACTTTCAGGAATGAAACAAGTGACTCTCTTTATAAGCGAGTCATTGAATCATTCACTCAAATAAGTCATTCAAAAGCACTGAATCATTAAGGAATGAAACAAGTGACTGAATCACTCTAGCTCATGTGATATTGATTAAACAGCACTAAAAATCTACACTAGAAATGTAACCTCACAAATGATAATAATTTGTTTCAGTCAGTTAGTGCAACCTTAATAGTTCATTTTTGCATCCAGATTGCTCTCTGTATATCACTTACTGCATTGGCAAGCGCAGGGGTGCATCACGCCACACAGCTGAGCTTCTCACATCTCACTCCAACCATCCCACTCAAGGCTTAATGAGGCTTCATCACCAGTCTGACCATAAACCAAACATCCAGCAATGAGACAGCATTTGAAGGAAGTTGTGCGGTGAAGCCATGATCACGCTTTTACCCAAGCCTGTTTGCATTTCAAACAAATTACAATAACGACTTGAAAGCATTCGAAAGTAGAACAAAGCCTAGTTTGAAAAAGAGCTTGTTGAAATATTTGCTCTGTGTGAAGGCATAGTAAAAAGATTAACCTTCTGATGACTGGGTGAACTTTGTGAAAAGGAGCCTGAATAGGATATCGGTTTTCTGATAAGAGGGTCATAAAACTAGAAAGTCGGGACTTATTTGTGTCAACTTCTCCGATTATACACAAAACCGGCCATTCGCTGCATTGCATCTGATTTATGTGCGGCTTTCACAACGCTGTGAAAAGAGCAGAGTGACAGAACAACTTCCATAGCTTTGAAGCTCAGGTGAAAGTCAAGTGCTTCTTGAGACTAACAAAAGCTTCTTAGTCATCCATTTCTGCACGAGTCAAAACAGATCCTCCAAAGATAACTCTATTGGTTTAAAAAGCGGCGAGATTTCCATTGTCTTGATGTACTTTGCAGTGGCATCCTAATAATGCTTTTCCACTCACTGACCTTTAAGGAAGCGGGGTCGGACAGAGCGAGGGCTTGTCTCCTCAGTTCAGCCACAGTCATCTGACACTGCTTGCACAGATCTGGCCTAGTCTCGTCCCGGTCTGACTCAGAGACGCTCACGGCTCCCGCGCCTTCGGGTGCTGGTCTGCCGGCGCACATTTCCTCCTCCGCTGACAGCCTCCTCCTCCTCGAGAGTGAAGACTCTCCGCTCGAACAGCCTTCCACCTTTTTCAAAGACAGCAAAATCACAATGCAGAAAGAGCACAAATACTTTTGTATACATAACTACACATTCAGAGCTTTTGCAATAGAGTTAAAGGAGTAGATCACTTTAAAAAAAAAAAATTTTTGCTGATAATTTACTCACCCCCGTCATCCAAGATGTCCATGTCTTTCTTTCTTCAGTCGAAAAGAAATTAAGGTTTTTGATGTAAACATTCCAGGATTTTCTCCATATATTGGACTTCAATGGGAACCAAATGGTTCAAGGTCCAAATGAGAGTTTCAGTGCAGCTTCAAAGGGCTTTAAACGACACCAGGCGATGAATAAGGGTCTTATCTTATCTTTCGAGTCATGACTCGAAAAAAGGTTTGTTCATTTTGACGAACGCGCATCACAGAACAGAGCAAGGCGAGCATTTGTGCTTATAAAACGTAAACTTTTTCATTTATTTTTGAAAATGCTGATCGTTTCGCTAGATAAGACTCTTATTCATCGTCTGGTGTCGTTTAAAGCCCTTTGAAGCTGCACTGAAACTCATTTGGACCTTGAACCGTTTGGTTCCCAATGAAGTCCATTATATGAGAAAAATCCTGGAATGTTTAATCAAAAACCTTAATTTCTTTTCGACTGAAGAAAGAAAGACATGGACATCTTTGGATGACACGGGGGTGAGTAAATTATCTGCAAAAGTTTGTTATTTTGAACTACTCCTTTAATTGCATTTTACAAATTGTTTATTAAATTAATACCCACTTCACACTGTAAAAATTATATGATCTATATGTTGACAACATGTGTTTTTACATTGCTTTAACTCATCAAATTAAGTTAGGACATTTTTTAACCTTTTTTATAAGTTATACAAGATTTTAAAGTCAGTTTAATGTAATTTAAGTTGAAATGACTTACATATCGAAGTTGATTGTACTTAAAAATGTAAGCAAGTGCATGTAGGCTACACGTAGCTTCACCTGAGTTCTTAAATTGTGTAAATACACACAGGTGTGATTAAACAAACGAGTTACAAGTTATACAACCACAATGCACAAACAGCAAACCCTCGGCTTTCAATTTCGATTACTGTAATTTCTCAGCATCAGTTGATGTTTATAAGAGGACTTACAGTTGACCGGCTGATCTGGAACTCTCCTCGCGCATTCCTCTGAGTTAAATCCATCATCTCGGTGTAAAAGATCAAAGCACCGCGGATATCTAGTGTACTTTAATGCTCCTCTATTTGTCTACACACATTAATTATGCAAATTATGAACACAGTTCATGAATAGTCAGTGGGAGCGCAAAGCAAAAGGCATAGCAAGATTCCCCCTAAAGTTTTGCTTTGCTAGTTCCATAACGACGCGCGTACACGGGAGTGAAGTTTGACTGCTGTCAATGCGTGTGCGCGCTGCGCGGCTCGGTCACTTGGATAGAGGGGTGGAGCTGCTATTCAGTACTCAAACACTCATAAGCTGTTTCAGATAGCCTAGTTTATAGGCTGCTTGTGCACAAACAAAAAGTGAAAATAAAGTTGTAGGGAATTCTCCATTTAATGAATTGTGTGTTTTGTGATAAGGAATGTGCTCATGTGAACCTAATCAAATGATCAAATTGTGTCTTGCATGATAATAAAAACATGTGTATTATTGTAAGGAACAGCCTATAAACTAATTTTAATATTTTAAAATTATAAATAAATGATTGCTGCTAACATAAATTACGTCATCTTTTATGTTGCGGTTCACTTGTGTAGACTGTGAGATTACGGGTGTGCTGATGTCGTTTGCATATTACTCTGGCGCCACCCTCTGGTATTTTCTTTAACTGCATCTTCCAAATCTCTTGATTTGTAAGAAATTGTGGGAATGTTTGAATATTTAATTAGTCGTTGCTAAATATTTTATGTTGATGATGTATATGCTGGGATCACGTGGTTTTAAATCGCATCCCAAATACTGTCAATCAAACAATTCGCCTCAAATAACACACATTCAGTCCTTTGTCGGTGAGAGCGCCAGCAGTCCCAATAAACCATCAATAACGGACCGTTTAACGGGGGCGAACAAAACAGCTACACCTATACTCACAGATTTCTGTGACCGTCTACACTCTATAACACTTCAGCGAATCTAAATTAAACTCTCTGACACGACAGACTCTTTCAAAACCTTTTTTTTTTGTGAGCATTAATGTCAGTTTGTGCACCTTTATAGTGTTGTTTCGAAGTCTTTTTTTATTTTCATGTTTTAGGAAGCCTACTTGCATATATAGCCTATAACGAGTTAAATTGCTGAAATCTTAACCGCTGAAAAACTTTTAATCAAGCACAAAGTTCACAATACGATGATAAAAATGATATGCAAAATGAAGGGTTTAATTTGCGATAGCACTTTAATGTATTTCGGATGCTTAGTTTAAAGGAAGTTGCTAAACATGATGTGGACGCTGAGAGCTGTTCGTGGTGCTGAAGTGTCAATGATCATCATAATGATAACTTCCTATTCATATTTGTGAACCTCAAAATGTGATAGCTTCTAATAGGACAGTAAGTGTGTTTAAGCAAAACATCCCACATTGATTCTAATGAGCTCTAAATGAGTCAACTTGTGGAGTCTTTTGTACTCTCAAAAGCTGCTTACCTTGGCTTTTCGCTTTAACAGATGACTAGTAAATCCAAAAATGATGTCAGCGTCCACGAAAAACGTCCCCAGGTCAATCAGACTGGGCTTTTGCTTGTCCTCCCCAGACGACCCGTTAGAGTTTTGTAAATCCATTGTGCAGCTGTAAATATGTTTCCTTGCCCTGCTTACAGCAAATGTGGAGAAGTCATCGCGCGCGCTCTGGAGTTCCGAGTCATTTTACAGATGGTTCTCTCTGATTCCAAAGCGGTGTCATGGTCTTATCCAGAGGGTCTCTCTCAGGTACATCCAACTGTTGACTCATTTGGATCGTTCGGGTTCTGTTCCAACTCACTTGCCGCGTATAAAATCATACATCCATATGTTGACACTGGTCAAAGCTCGTCTCAAGAACCCCATACACTCCATCCATGATCCATGCGCTTCCGTCATACATCCTAGTTGGATAGGCAGTCCACGCCTTGTCTTGTGAACACTGCAGGTCTAGGAGTGAACTCGCCCGAGCCTGTTGAGGACTACCTTGAACAACTCCACCCCTCTCTCTCCCTCTCTCTCTCTCGAACATCCTCATGGCGAGTGTCGCTTGATGCTCAACCAGTGCGCACTTCAATTCCTTCATTGCGGACAAGGTTGCTTAAATAACGTTAACTTAATTTTTGACTTATTATGCGACATTGATGTAAGATGTAGTTATATTCCAATGCTTATACTGATGCTTAAATGAGATGGTTCAGATGATGTTTTTAAAGAAACACATATTTTTTTCTTCTTAATTCTTAGATGACGACTTCCAATGCAAAAGCCACCCATGTCAGCACATTGCATACGTTCATGAAATACGTTCACTTCAAACTCACTAAATCCCAGCCTCAGCTTATTCAGAAATGTCTGTACTTAGAAACCTATACACATGGAGCCTGATGTTAATATTAAAGAAAACCGTTACTTTAAAACGGACATTTATCTGGCTTTAAAACACCATGTAAAAGGAGAATGAAAGCAACTTTTGAAACAGTAACGTGATAGGCTATGTACAGTAGCCTATGTATGTTGGCCAATTTAGGCTATCTATGCATGTATGTTGTTGTTTTATGTTTTGGTTGTTTTTAAACATGTATGAATGTATAGGCTATACGGTATGTATGGAATGTAATTACGTATCTATATTTGTTAGCCTATTTATCCATTTATTTATAGCCTAATGTATTTTTTTTAGCTTGAAAGACTCATTTTAAAACTTGCCATTAATTTTGAGCGCCAGATCTTTCAACACCAAAGCGGATCCACCAGAAGGCTCCCTGGTGCGTGATCTCCGAGCAGCCGAAAGCAAACCCGGGCTGTTATTGAGCAGTTTAAATGCGAGGCTTAATACGCAAGATAAAGGCGGTTGTTTGCTGGGCTTTGAAAGCCGAACACAGGACATTACTGCTGCCCTCTTAATAAAAACTCTTATCTCGAGCATACAGAGGAGCATGCAGCAGATAAGCAGACAGGCTTTATTGCAATAATATACTCGTTCCTAGACTCTCTTTTGAAGGAGCGAGGTTTTGTCGCTGCGATTAAAGGGAATTAGGCAGTTGACTGTTGACAAGTCTGATTGTGAATTAGAAGTGATATTGGCTCATCAACTTGACCCGATAGACCAAGTCGTAAGTTGCATTGATAGCCAGTTCGCGGAAGGAGCGCTTCAGATTAGTTTTGGATGGGGAAGGGGGTCGTTCATGCATTAGTCCTTTAGGACCTCATGATTACAATCCATTGTAAAGGTGATTTACCACGTACACAAGCAGTTCTCTCACTCTCCTCTCCAGGGTCATCCCGACACGATGATGAAATTCCGCGGATCGAGTCTCGCGGGAGCTGCTCGACATCTGCTGCCCTCGCGCATGTACGCGGATCGCTCCGGGCTCCTCATTAAGACTGTTGAAATATCTTCCACCCTGACTCATACTGAGCTCCGCCAGTGGGGTGCAAGACGGAGCGTTTAGCGAATATTGCCGCTATTTAGGACGCGCCTCTGAGATCAAGAAGAAAGAAAGCGTACGCGCGCCCGAGAGGACTCGGAGAAACAGAATAACTGATTGGATTGAACGCTCATGAATAATTTATCGATAACAAAGGACAGCTATATGGTTCCACTGATGCAGTCGATTCGAGCGAGTTTTTAGAGTGAATTATGGGCGGGGGTGGTTTTGGGATACGTGACATAAGCTTCAAACAAAAGGTTAGCCTGAATCTTGAAAATTAGGGTTAATTCAAAATAATTGGGACATTTTTTTCCCAGTCACCTATAAGGCAAAATGTGTCCAATTTTACTTGAATTCCCCTGCAGGAAACATAGACCTAAATCAGTTTAGACGCCTGATGAAAATGAGGCTGTGATGAATATATGTAAAGTAAAGTACTAAATCACGTAATTTGCACAACTTTGAATACTGTTTTATGGAGTTTTGACTACCGATTCATGTTTCCCGTTTCTTCAGTTGAATAATCGGATTGTTGTTAAACAGTACACTCTAATAAACGAGTAGGCCTATTCTATTCCTCAGACTCACAGCCTTGTTTTCATTCCTGTCAAAAAATAAAATAAATAAATAAATAATTATATGGCGCGCTACATTGAATAAGGTCTATTAGTTAAAAAAATCAATTTGATGTTTAGCTACGACGCTATGTGCACCAAAACACGACACATCTTTGAAGATTGAGTCTTGGGAAAAAAATGACCCCTTGGTTGCATGTTTTGTTTATTTTTTTTATTTTCTTTAAGGACTCAATTGAAATCGTTTTAGCTGGCGAATGAACAATTCATATTTATCGTATTCTAAAAAAGGCTGGGTTGTTTTAACCCAATTTTGGGCTAAATATGGACATTGGGTTAAAAATGTAATTTAAAAATCTAACCCAATGGCTGGGTTTGTCCAATTTTACCCTAAATTGGGTTAAAACAACCCAGCATGTTTAGAATGTATTATTACAATTTTATTAAAAAAATAAAATAAAAAAAAGATTGTGCATGCACAGAACTCGTACTATTTGATATAGCATTTTATTTATTTATTTTCTCAATCTGTGACATGGATTAATCTTAAAGGTTTGCACTTTAATTTGCAATTCATGAGATGTTTCTCTTGTCCCCTCTATTTTGCCCCTGTTGATTACGAGACACATGCACAATCGATTTGTCCACACACAGTTTGATGTGTACAGTCACAGTGGGTGAACGACGCACATTTGGAGCCTCTCTGTATGGTTTCGTCGGGCTCTTTAATTAAAAGCAGGGTCACAGGTCGGTATTTTGCTTGCTTAATGAACTGATGAAACTGTTGAGACACGATAATTGTGACTATTGATTTGCATGACAGTTTGCGCTCATCTGTGTTTATTTGCTCTCGTTAGGGTTAGTCGTGCCGTTGTCAAAGCTTAAGACAAAACGTTAAATCTTAAGTCTAAGACAATTTAATCATGCAGGCAACCGACGAACCAGCAGAGTCCGGCAATGGTCCCCAAGAGACATTCAGCACCACGGACAGCACATCACTGAAGACACACGACTATAGGTCAGTTAGGTATGTGTGTGTGTGTGTGTCCTGTTAACCTTTAGCTGTGAAGAGTGTTTTAGGGGGCAAGAAGTTGATATGTTGATTCTGAATAGGCAAAATTGACTTGAGCAACTAATTACAATTCAGAATTAGAAGATACACAGGGAAACACAAGGGGGCACAAGAGAGAGTATTTAAAATATATTTATTTAGGTTTAAAATATCTTTCATGTGTCAAACGGGCCTATGCACATTATGTCTAAAAAATTATTTAAATAATTAAATGGATAAAGTAAAAAAGAATGAAAGAAAAAAAACCCGATTCACTCAGAAGGGAAACTGCTAATATGTCCAGCAATAGACCAACCCTATCCCAAACCTAACCTTAATTTTTTGGGACGCACACACACTTCTCTAATTTCTGGGGACATTGTCAGAAAAGTTGTCCCAGGTTTTAGCTAGGTCAGAACACACACCTTCAAACCCCCCCAAACAACAAAAAACTCAAAAACAATTCAACCTTTTAAAACAGAATTCCCCGTAACGCAATTTGCCCTTAAACGAGACAGAAAGTGAATCAAAAGCATAGAGTTTACACTATATATCAAATACACTGTCAGTAAGTCTTCAGCATCTACAACCAATAATTTTAACTATATATATATATATATATATATATATATATATATATATATATATATATATATATATATATATATATTACTCTTTACTGGTTTAGTGGACAAATTACGTTATAATTCCATCTCAAACGTTTGACTGACACATTTAAAAAAAAAAAAAAAAGTTGTTAAAAATTTATAGAGCGAACAAATCGTCCCAAAGCACATTATCATGTCATCTTTGTACTGGAACCAATGACAATGTCTCCCTGATCAAGTGGTCCTAAACATTTCACAATTTTGAGATAGAACTGTTGAACTGTTAAGAACCACTGCACCAGAGAGACCAAGAACATCCACTGAAGCCGTCCAGGTCCTCCTCTTCTGCCGTCCACACAGAACGCGTTCATTCGTTCAAAAACAGCAGCAAGGAGAGGAAAGTCTCGAAACGTGTGTCCACGAGTTGAACTAATGCTCACGGAGGCCTAAAAACAGCGAGACGGACGGTAGAAGAACGATTAAAAACGGCGCAGACGGAACGCGAAAAATAGTGAAGGTCGCGCCATAACTTTCGGCAAGGTATTAAACAATCTCTTCAAACAATGACACACATATCTTGCAGAGCACCTGGTTCACGTTACCATCCGATATAAGCGTCCCAAGAAAAGACCTGTTTAAAAAGCGCAAGCAGTTCTCCTGGAACGGTCTGGCCTCGACGATGTAAAAGTTGGGTGTGCAGTCTTTTATACTGTGCGGTGCGTGGATAACTTACACAGGGCTTTTCATTCAGACTGGAATGACGACTCTTCAGGTCCGACCGGCTCATCTGGGTTCCTGGGCAGAAAGAGCAATCAGCACTGCATCTTACACGACGGTTCACCTCGTGCACAGGCTGTGCTGTTCAAAGTTTAGTTCAGTCTGTAGATAAATCCTCATTCTTAATTATCAGCATGGTCCAGTATCCAATATACAGTGCCGCCAAAAAGTTTTTTGGACACTTAAACAGCAGTTTAAATATAGTAGTCAACATTAGAAGTGGAAAGTTGTCAACTTCGATGAAAGGTTTAGATCAGCTTCAAATGTTGACTACTAGCTTTTGTATTTTGATAAGACAATATTTAACTTGATTGTTATAATGTAAAATAGAATAGAAGTAAATCATTTCGAAAAATGTCTTTTTGTCTTTATGCTTACAACGAAATCAAACTTCAGATTGAGATTTGCTAAAAGGTTCAAAAGGATTTTGCCAATAAGCATTTGCACTTAAATCAATATCTAACTTTAGATTATGCAAATAATGTTCATTAGAATTTTTACAAGTAAATCATTTTGTGCTTAGCAATTATATTTTTAGCATCATATTTATGCTACTCTCGTCCTGACCACTGTAAAAAATGCCTGTGAAATGTACAGTTATTTACTGTAGATGTCACAGTAACAATACTGTAAAAGATTTTTACAGTAGAATATTGTAAAGTTTACAGTAAGACCTTAAAAATCACAGTAGTTCAAGCATTACAGTGGAAATCACAGTAGTCAAAGCATTACTGTAAAAAATCACAATACAGCCACTAAAGTACTGTAAATAGTAAAGTAAACTACTGTAATTTTCCTTTTTTTATCATATCTTTCTTTGTAACCCTTGTGTTGTAACTTGTACTCTGATGCACCTGCTGCATGAGCTTTCTATATATATATATATATATATATATATATATATATATATATATATATATATATATATATATATAAAGAATTTAAATATCTTTTGTTTGTTTGTATTTGTGACTGTAAATGGGTGTTAACAGGGCATAAACATATTTAATCCTTATCTTAAACTTCTCCAAAGTCTCCCCTAACAATATAGGCTTCATAAATGCATAATTTTTTGAGATATCATATCATCCTCTGATTTGAAATGAAGCATGACCATTGGTTATAAGTTGCAATAGTATTCACACTTTTCTATAAATATTAACATATACATTTAATAAATATATTCTTAATGTTGGTTGTTTTTATCTTTTAGCTTAACGTTATATACTTCAATATTAATAACATTTGATTAATCATGAGTTTTGAATTTGAGCCAAAACTCTCAAGCTTTCTAAGTATGTTTTGATTAATGTATCTATTCAGAATGAAGAAACCTTTTTATTATGTGTAGATTATGTGTGCATTACTTTCCAAAATTGGGGCTGCCTGGTTAACTCATAAATACGTAACATGGGATTTTTATTTTACAAAAATCAGTGTTTTTATATGTATATATATATTTTCGAAAGCAGGAGAGATAAATGTGCAAGTTTCCAGAGCTGTTTCTGAGCTGCAAGGCGAAATCAAAACGCCGTCAGAGTGGGCGGGGTTTAGGCAGTCAAAGCTAGAGTCTGTTAGAAAAAAGCGCGAAAGAAGCATTTGAATTTCTGTTTCGTCGTCAGTGACAGAAAAGCTAAGTTAATAGTCGAATTTACGTTTTCGTAACAGCCTTTAACGTTAAGCTCTGTTAATAAGTCTAGTATTTTTCAAATGTGCGTTTCTTTATACACGGCTTTGTCTTGTGGTTGTAACGTTATTTATTTTGTTTTCGTCTTTGTGTTTATCTTTCACTTTTTGCCTGAGAGGAATTCAGCGAAAACGTTTCCGTGAGAGCGCCGACGGAGACGTTTTTACAGCCTTTAAACGTTATTAGTATTAGTTAGCCAACAGTTTACCTAGTTATCGGTAGCTAGCTAGCCAGGAGAATATTTTTCCCCCACCGGTTGCCTCAGCCGGAGTTTCCATCTTGGGATCGCGGATCCTTCACCAACTGCTAATGGGGATTCGGGACTTCCAGAAAATCAGTAAGTTAAGTAACGTTAACTTTACGTACCATTTTACACCCCCCAACATAATGCAGGTTGACAAGCCTCCAATTGTTCAAGTAAATACAGGTTTGTTTGTGTCAGGTTTATGTTATTGGTGGTTGAGCATTTTTTCTTTAATAGACCTCACCTCACAATAATAACGTTAAGTTATAACATGGTGCTAACGTCTATCTCAATTATTGGTTAAATGCTGGGTAACTTAACAGTTAAAGTCACTGTTGTCCACTGTGTGAACAATATTTTAATTAAGAGAAAATTGATGTAACTTAGAGTGGTAATTGATAAAGTTATTGTGGTAAGTTACTTAGTTTTTTATGAGTAAACATGCACAAACCTAAAGAGAAAAAAAAGGCTCATTGCTTTCTTATCAACAATTTTTATACAGCTTTTTCTATCCTAGTTAGTTACCTTCTTTCGAGTGACTCTTTATCTTTGCTGGCATAGGAGACTAACGGTACCACTCCCTCAGATGTAGAAGAGGCCCAGCTGTCTCCTCCCTATCACTCCAGTCCAAGGATTATCATGCTTGGTAAGTTTCACATTCACTGTTAACAAATCCTTAATGTATTAACTTTATGCAGAAGCAAAGCAACGTTTCTGGAAAACACTAGTGAATGCAGAGTTTGTGTCGTGCCATTCTCTGCACTAGTCAGCAGTCACTTCAAAAACTTAAGTTATGTGGAGTAAGTTACTCTCTTATTTTTAGTAGCCACCTATAATGTCGTGATTACTATTTCAGATTGCTTGCTATGCCTGTGTCACTCATTGTTTTTCTATCACCAAACCAGTAACTGCTATTTAAAATCCTTAAAATTCACCTCAAAATGAAAGTTTCCGAATAATTTACAAGATATCCATGTCTTTCTTTCCTTCCTCAATGAAAGAGAAATGACATTTTTGTAGGAAAACATTTCTAGATTTTTCTTTGAATAATGGGCTCCAGTAGTCCAACAATTGTAGATAAAAAGTATATAAATTATAATTTTTTTTTCAGAAAATGACTGATCATTTCGCTAGATAAGACCCTAATCCTCAGCTGGGAACCTGTATAGTGCGTTGAAGTACTTCAAAGACCTTTGAAACTGCATTCATTTGGACTTTAAAACGTTGTTTACAATTGAAGCCCATTATCCAAAGAAAAATCAAGAAATGTTTTCCTCAAACTTAATTTCTCTTCCACTGAGGAAAGAAAGACATGGATATCTTGGATGGCATTAGGGTGAGTAAATTATTAGGAGATTTTCATTTTGAGGTGAACTAATCAATCCTTTAATCCACTGCTTCAAAGATATGTATGCTCCCTGCCCTGTTTTTACAATAATTTATGTGGAAAAAATCTTTTATTGAATGTATCGCTATGAAATATAATTTTTGTGATGACTCTTGTCTTTACTAAGGAGAGACTGCAAAAAAATGGATGCTGTCGATCAAGGGGAGGGTCGTAACCCCACCTGGTGCTCACATGGTGGACTTCACCACTGCCTTGGCCGCTCTCTTCGCCTGTTACGTATTCAACCTACAGTATTAGGTGGAAGCCAGCACAACACTGGAGTTTGATCAGAGGTATTTTTATATTAAATAATTTGATTGCAATGTAAAAGCACATTGACAATTGAAAAGCTGTTCAAAATCATCTTCTCCCTTTAAAATGTTATGTAATAGGTAGGGCCCTATGAAATCCATTTTATTTTTTCCCAAATTCCGTTTTATTTTTTCCCAAATTTCGTTTTTTCCGTTTTAATTTTAGGGAATTAGGTTTTTTTTTACCCTTGACTGTTATTTTAGTTGTAAAAAATAGTATGCTTTTAAAGTTAATGATAAAAATCTATTAAAAAAATAAAAATAAATTAGGAATGACCTTAAATTTATTGAGGTAATACAGACAATTACTCAGTAGCCTTTTCAGGACAAATACTGCATGATGCAACATAACACTGCACTCTTCAAGTAACAACAAAATATGGTTATGAGCTTTAAACTGTCCAGTAATATAAATTATATTAGTTTATAAGTTTAAATAAAGTCACACTCTGTCTCTCATGGAGTTCGCTTCGCCTTTGTCCAGTCCGGCGCCTCAGACAGACGTGGTGTGCACGTCGTGTGTATGTGTGTGTGTGTGTGTGTGTGTGTGAGAGACGCGTGAGTGAGAGAGAGACGGAGGGAGAGCGGGGAAATACAACTGAATGAATACGCTGCGTGTTTTAAATAGTGTTAAAAACCGAAACGCAGTATGTGGCGGCGAATTAAGTGTGGGAAACACTGCATAAGTCACGTGCGAACTGCTCGGCACTGACGGCTTATACCGTTGAGTTTCTTAACTTTTAGTCGACGAAAGGAGAGCCGCTTCGCCATGCTTTCATTGTTTTGATTTCGTCATTGGAGCTGAAATGATGGGTTGGGGGGTTGAGTCGCCCAGATTTGCTTCCCCCGGTCTGCATTTTCAACAGACATACGTTCTTCTCCCACACAAAAACAGAATTTCAAACCAAATATGTAAAAATCCACGAAATTCCGCGTTAACACTAGATTCCGCGTTAATTGGCCAATTCCGCGATTCCGTCCGCGATTTCGTTATCGCGGAAATCATAGGGCTCTAAATAGGGCTGGGCGATATGTCTGAAAACTGTATCACGATATAAGTGTTTCATATTGGTTGATATCGACAATTATTGATATTTTTATGACCTATTTAAAATAAGGACCATGAGAAAAATATATTACATTTAAACATTTTTATTTTAAACCTAAAGGATTAGTTCACCTCAAAATGTAAATTTCCTTATAATTAACTCACCCCAATGGCATCCAAGATATCCATCTCTTTCTTTCTTCAGTGGAAAAGAATTTAAAGGAGAACTCCAGCGTAAAATGAACCGTTGGTCTAATAACACATTTTTACCTAGTCAGCCGTTCTCTGATATTTGTTTTCATGATAATCGAATGTAAAGAGTTTTATCTCTAAAAACTGTTTAGATTATAACGCTAGTATATGGGGACATATAATAAGTAAGATCTATCGCTAGTTAATACCACTAACAAGGCTCAAAATAGCCCCACACTAACACCAAACGGCATTCGTGGTTCGACTTGTCGAGACTGTTTTCCCAAGATGGCTCCTGCCTGTATACGCGAAGTGGACTGTCTTGATAAAATATCTTCTTATTATACTGTCTGTACACTTACAAAGTTCTCAATGCTTCGTTTTGGATGTAGGGACCCTCATTATGTTACTATGTTAGTGTGGGGCTATTTTGAGCCTTGTTAGTGGTATTAACTAGCGATTTCTTTTTACTTAGTCAATGCCCCCATATACTAGCGTTATACACTAAACAGTTTTTAGAGATAAAACTCTTTACATTCGATTATCATAAAAACAAATCTCAGAGAATGGTCGACTAGGTACCAATATGTTATTAGACCAAAGGTTAATTTTGCACTGGAGTTCTCCTTTAAGAACTAATCCTTTAAAGGGAAAATTAAGCAGTCAATCAAGTTTACAAGATTTACTAGATGGATTTCCACTATAATCAACAATTATATAAGACACATGACAAATGTAAACATATAAAAGAAAAAAAGTAAAAACTTAATATCTTTCGCCGCCAGGGTGGCGCCATTGCGCAGTATTCTAACATGTGACGTAACGGGGTTAGTTGGCTTTAGTTAATAGGCTTTGGGCAGTGAATATCCCAACATCAAACTGTTTACACCACAGTGTTTTGACCGCGGACGACTAATGTTAGGTACAGTTATTAGACAAAAAGACAATGTCTAATGTTATGTTGACAATCTGCACTGTGTTCACGTGTTCAAACATTGTTCACGATGTCTGCCATCATATTCCCGTCTCGTCAACACCATGTAAGTTACGTTGCTATGTAACCACCACCGGTGGTGGTTTGGGGCGAAGAGCGGGTTTGAAATGCTAACAGGTGTCAGTATGGCTGTTGAATTGCGATGCCCACTGTGTCAGAGTCCATCTGCTTTCAAGAGGTTGATCTTGACCATGCGTGGTCAATTCTGCATCACTGGCACGCACGTTTACCATGCTATACCATCTATACTAGTTAAAACTCATAAATAACTACAAATAACTAATGTTAGGGTAATCTGTTATGTTTTGTTGCGTGTTTCTTAAAATATATATATATATATATATATATATATCGGCCGATATATAGGAATATCGGATTTTAAAACCAACAAATATTTGTATCGGTATCGGCCTTCAAAATCCTTTATCAGTCGGGCTCTAGTTAAAATAACTGATCTGTCACGAGACGTCTGAATCGGTGTATAACAAATTGGTAACACTTTACAATATGGTTCCATTTATTAAACTCTAGTTAACTACATTAGTTAACATTAACTATTAATAAACTGCACTTCTACAGCATTTATTAAACTTTCTAAATGTTAATTTCACCATTTACTAGTAGCCTAAATTATTTAAATAAGTTGTATTTGTTAAAGGAACACTCCACTTTTGTTTTTTATTGGCTCTACAACTCTCCCAGAGTTAAACAGTTAAGTTTTACCGTTTTCGAAACCATTCAGTCGATTTAATGTGTTTTCTTCTTTAATTTCAGGGCTCCAAATAGGATTCTCTGTCTCCAAGGTCAAGGCATGCAAGAGGCCATAGACCTTTGCCAAGTGGCAGGGGAAGTTTATTTTCCTTTCTGTTTTAAATGTTCATGCAAATGTTAAATATATATATTTTTTAATGTTCAATGTTTTATTTTATTTCAATATTGCCATAATGTTATTTATTGCTCTTTAGAATGGGGTAATCAGTTATTTGCACAACTTCAAAGTAGTTAAATTTTTTGACTGTATTGTATCAATTTGCATTATTGTTCCATTATAGCAACTAGTCATACGGAACTAGTGAATGAACTAGTAACAGTTTGCTCTGTAACTTTACAAATCTTGTAATGAAATAGGCTCGTTGTATCAATTTGTATTAGCCTATTGTTCCGTCATAGCAACCTGTCATACAGAACTATTGAATGAACTAATAACAATTTGCTCTGTAACTTTAAAAAAACGTTTTGTAAAATTTTCTTCAGTCGTAAATTAAAGGAACACGACAACTTGTTGGGACTTTAGCATATTCACTGTATCCCCCAGAGTTAGATATATCTCGTGCATGCTGTAACTCTGTCTGACACACCCACCGCTAGCCTAGCTTAGCACAAAGACTGGGTCTAAATGGCTCCAACTAGCATACTAATCCCAATAAGTGACAAAATAACGCAAACATTTTCCTATTTACATGTTGTGATTTGTATAGTCACAGAGTGTACAAAAAACAAGGTCATATGTGACACAGCCATCTTTACCGTATAAATATTGGGAACTATATTCTCAGAAGGCGAAGCACTGCTACTTGGGCGGAGTGATAACCGCAGCACCCGAGACGCGTTATGGAGAGGAGCAGAGAGTTCGTTCAGAGTTGGAATAATAGAGTCAGCAATTACTAGATAGTGAAAGCATAGTTTACAATCATGGGTGTTCGCTGTATTGTAAAGAGCTGCGACAATAAATGGGAGACCAGGTAATGCCATGATGTTTCAAAGAATTCCGAACAAAAAATGCATCCTGACTAATAAATATCACAGGTCAGCATTTTTGTTTGGAATTCTATGAAACATCATGGCATTACCTGGTCTCCCATTTATTGTCGCAGCTCTTTTAAAATACAGCGAACACCCATGATTGTAAACTATGCTTTCACTATCTAGTAATTGCTGACTCTATTAATCCAACTCTGAACGAACTCTCTGCTCCTCTCCACGGCGCGTCTCAGGTGCTGCGGTTATCACTAGCAGTGGTTCGCCTTCTGAGACTATAGTTCCCAATATGCGGTTAAATGATGGCTGTGTCTCATATGACCTTGTTATTTGTACACTCTGATTTATACAAATCACAACATAAATAGGAAAATGTTTGCGTTATTTTGTTACTTATTGGGATTAGTATGCTAGCTGGAGCCATTTACATCCAGTCTTTGTGCTAAGCTATAGGCTAGCGGTGGGTGTGTCAGACAGAGTTACAGCACGCATGGAGATGAAAAAGGTATGTAAGGATTTATCTAACTCTGGGGGATACGGTGAAAAAGCTAAAGTCCCAAAAAGTCGGAGTGTTCCTTTGAATATAGCAACAGTAGAATAAGCATGATAATAGACTTCACGCCATTAGACTATCTAAAGTTAACACTCCGCTGGGTGTTGTGGCCACATTACTTGCATAGAACGTGCATTAACTTTGGATGGTATAATGGCATGTTGTCCAATGTCCATTATCCTTTGTTGTACCTGTTTTGTCATTTCTGTTCACCAAATCTTTTTAAATAAATAACTGTTAACAATTTTCTTATTGTCTGCAGTTGATTGCAATGTTTTAGAAAAATGGGTGTTTCTTTTAATGATGGCTAATATTAAATGATAGTGATATAGTATTTAAATTGTACAGTGAGAAACTGAATTTACAGTGCTTAACCGTTATCTACTGTTTATAGTACTGTGTTGCATACAATACATAAAAAACAGTGCTTAATGTTTTTTGTATGTAAATTAAATTGAAATTTTCTTCTACAGTAAAACAATCAATGCTGTAAATACAACTAAAATCAAAATATTTCAATGTTTTTGATTT